CCCTACACAGCTGGAGTGGAAACTTTAGGTATAGCTCTCCAAGGTGAAAAGAGCATACATTTATATCATCTTGCAAGGCCCTGCCTGAACCCATGCAAAGAAAAAAAATGTGCATTCACGGTTAGTCTTTTACCACAGCAGATTCACTGTGCCTTGTGCCTGAAAAATTCCCAAATGGTAGAATTTTTATTAAGTTTAGGGGCACTCTTATGCACTGTCATTAATTATTTTCAATGAGATCAAGCACATATGCAAATAAGAATGAGCAGGGGAGGGATAAAATATATTAGTTAAATCACTTTCAACCTTCTTTGTAATTACTCACAGAAGAGCTATCTTCCTTCTGTCTTGCACACAGGCCTCCACATGTCATAGCTCTGTCCCTGCGTGCAAGGTCAGAAGCAGCCAGCCCAGCAAACACTGACCCTGCGTATCCCTGCAGATGCGCCTTGGGTTCAAGTCTGGCTGAGATGAAAGCTGATGAAATGAAAGGATCAGGCTTGAAAAGGAAAACGGGAAGCCCAGGCAGCAGTAGGGAGGGAGCAGCTGCTGATGAAGGGAGGATTAAGATGGTTGATCTCACATAAGGAAGAAGGAGGAAAACACAGATAATTCCAGCATGCTTCAGAATAGGACCTGTACTTTGCATAAAAAAGTACCGGCTAAATAGACTGTACATATTGCTCTGTTTTTAGCCAAGCATCTCTCATGGGCTTTACAGGACGCAGAGTGGAAGAGAGTTTTGCAACCTCCTGAATATCTGAACAGACCTTGCAGCAGCGACTACTAACAGCGTACTAACTGCGTCAGGCAGAGCAGATACACAGAGCAGGCATGAGTAAAACAAGCCAGGACAGGATGTCTGAGCTGCCTGGGAAGGACGGGCTCTGGGTTTGCAGTGCAAATCATCTCATTGAGGATGGGAGAAGGGAGGGACCCACATGTCTGGGTATAACCTGTGCCTGGGTCCCCACGAGGTCGGTGCCAGACAAGAACGAACTGAGCCCTGCAAGAGCAGCCACTTTTACTTGGATACTCACGTTGTAAACGCGGGGTTATATTTTGCACCAAGGTAGTAAGAGTAAAGGTTGAACATTCCAATCATGAAGGCCAGGAACACCATGATGAAGATGACCATGAACTTGAAGATATCCTTCACAGTCCTCCCCAACGAGATCTGGAGGGGGCCGAAGCTTTCGTTGGCTGGAAGAATGTAAGCAATGCGGGAGAAGCTGAGTACCACAGCTATTGCATACAGTCCTTCTGAAATGATCTGAGGATCCGAGGGAAGCCACTTGTTCCTGGCTAAAACAATACACGTACATTAGGTATTAGTAATGAAAAGTGTTAGTTCGAAGTTATCATGATAAATGACCCATTTTCAAGACTGAATCTTAGTTTTGGCCAGGAGCTAAGAAATGTTCCAAATAACTGGTCACTGAAGTCCTCCGCATGCTGTACAAGGATGAGTGAGAAGGATTAGTCAAATTTCTCACATGGAAAAGATGAGAAATAGGCAGGTCACTGGGATTTACTGAGTTATCACAACAAATAAATAGCATAGTTGATACTCTCTGTTTCCTAGTCATACATCAGCGAGGTTGAGATCTCTGTCCTACCACTAAACAAGGAAGCCTGGATTTGTATGGATAAAGTAAATATTATCAGTAGGTGTATCAGCTTTATCTAACCTTCAAATTAAAGCTAGTTCTTGTAATGTGGTCTATCACACATTTTTTTCTTTAAGAAGTAACATCTCTAAGGGCACAGCAGTAAATTGAAGTATTATTTGCAATAGTATGAGCCAAATGAAAAGTAGCAGACAGAGCAATATGCAGAATACAGTTGTGACATTGCGTTCTGGACCCCTCACACCGAATACACCTGCACGAAGGGGCTGCACTTGACTCCGCAGGAGGGAGCGCTGTACAGTGAGCTCACTTTAAATGGGCCAGTAACAAGCCAGAGAGAGGAAAAGCACAATATAACAATTTTGCAGGAAGGCATGCCATGAATCCAGTCCCTACACCTGGGTGCAAAGCTCCATTCATTTGTGTCTAGCGAAAGAGAAACCATTTCAGCCATCAAAATAATGTTGTCAAGACTCTGCTACTGCTTGCGTTCCACATGTTATCTATCGCTTATAGAAAATATAGGATCTCTCTTGGGGAAGGAGCTCTCCTGGGTGTAGTCTGTGTCTGTAGCTGCCATTATACTGGCATTAGACGTGACACAGATGCAAAGCAAACCACCAGGTAGAGATGCAGTTCTAGCTCCTATATTTGTTCACACATTTCCCCCTTCTCACATTTGGAGAACTAAGTAGGTTCAGTCTTCTGTCATTTAAATTATATTCTCCTTACTCTTCATTCATGATTATTTGTTTCTCAAGCTATTTTGCTGGGATGTGATTGATCTGAATGCAGCCTTAGTACAAGATCAGAGACTGAATGAGGCTCAGATTTCAGTTCCTCTCTAGCTGTTTATGAAGATGGCTGGAATGGCAAGTTCTGAGAAGAATAATTAGCTTTAGCTTGAAAAAACTTCAGAGACAGTACAAAAAAAAAAAAAAAGCAAGCTGCTGTTTTGACCACTACCACACATTAGCCTGAAAGAACAGGAAGCATTAAATAGCAAAAAGCGTCTTACCATAAGTAAAGTAAGCAACTTCAGGGGGGAGGGTGACATTATTGAGGTCATCATCTTGAACGTACTGATCTACGTACTGTTGTGCTTCAGTCGCTTTGAGAAAGGCCATGAACCTGGCCGTGAACGACGCCACGAAGATGGACAGCATCCCGAAGTCCAGCAGGTTCCAGAGGTGCAGGACGTACTCGCGCGGACCCTCTTCCCAGATCTCCTTGCACTCTGACCATATCATGCCTGCAGAAAGACGGGAGCGCATTAGCCGGCAAAAGAAAAGGTGCTTTCTGTAGTCAGAGGTAGACCCACCTTCCGGCTAAGGATGGCCTGTAAAACCAAACCAAATAATCTTATGTAACACACCCACCCTTCAATTCCACTGCGCTCTCCAGAGAATGTTTTCTGTCATCTTTTCTTAAAAACAAGTCAAAACCTTAATCTGGTATATCCCCTTGTGCGTATCAGCTAGAATTTTCAAAGGTTTGCTGTATGACTCAACAGAAAAGTAGACTTCTGGTAATTTCAGAGAAAGCACAGTTCAGAAACTCTGAGCACATTAGGAGAACTTGCATGCTATGTTTTTGGAAAAATTGCAAAATACAGAGGACCAGTACAACCAGGGCAAAGGAAAGTTAGAATTTCTACCCTTGCAGGACTTTTCTGTAAAGCTTTGTTTATGAGATATAACAAATTTCTGCATGTTTAAGTCTGATCCATCACTTTGAAAACCCTGACTTTAGCCTGAATTTAGGATTTATGATCCTACTAACAATAGACTTACAGATAAATCTAAATGCCAAACCAAGACAATTCAAAAATATTAATAGCCACGTTCTGGTGGGGAGTGCTAGGGAGGAGAGGCGAATCCACTAGGCAAAGTGGAGCCAAGAGCTCAGGTCAGATTTATCAGCTTGCCCAACTTTCAGTCATAGTAGAGCTCCAGAGCCAAAATCTTGGTTCTGAATAGCTAAAATATGGGAAAATTTAACCCGCTGATAAATATAAACATTTGCTGAACTCCATCCAGATTGCAACCACTTCTCTAGGTGACCAATCTTGTTTCCATAGCAGCAGCAAAATTCACACTTAATCAAGCAGGAGTAGGGGCTGCCAATTTCCAAGTGGCCTCCTGAGATTTTGTCCTTTTTGTGAACTCTTCTTCTTCCTCTTTTCCAGAAGCTTTTGCAGTGTGGCATGAAAATGTGTTTACCTCATTATTTCAGAGACTCCTGGAAGCACCTGCTGTCCTGAGAGGTAAAGTCGGAGGTTAGGTTGTAAGAAAGGAGACACATCCCAGTGAATCTAGCCTGAGGGTGGAGGAATAAAGAACTGCCACACTGTCAATCATCCCGCACTGGGAAGGGTTTGAAAGAAAAAGGAAAGCTAAACTCTCACTGACACCTAGGATTAAGGCACCACTAGTTGGTGATCCTGGAGCTGGAGACCTGCGTCTCGGGAAAAGGCTATAGCCAGTGTTTAGCGATGCCGGTAAGTGTAAGACGTAGCTGGCACAAGCGCCTGCCTGTGCGTTTCCCCATCCTGGTGCCTCACTAGTGCTTTATCTCCCCAATGTCCCTCGCGGGCAGATCCCGCAAGCCCTCCTGTGAGGACCTATAGGTCCTATAGGTTGTGCCCTGTATAGCTCTGCGTCATGCTGAGGGCGAGATGTCAGCGAAGGGTTGTGCAGAGCCAAAGGGCGCGTGCAGGAGGGGACCCCTCTCACCCCGGAGCACCGTTGCACTCAAGCACCTCCTCTGCTAAAGCCTGCAGGTGTCTGGCTGTGTAAAAGCCGGAACTTCATCCCTCAGCTGTCATTCACCACAGGTAAAAGATTTAATAATAAATAGCCAAAGGGAGAGGTAGAAGAATTAGTTTCTCAGAAACTGTCCTAGCGTGAGGATGAAATATTAAAGAAACACATTTATAGCTGAAAAAAAAATCCCCACAGTAATAGGTATTTGACATTAGCCCAATGTATTAAGTGTGTGTATCGCATAAAATGTACTAAAGCGCTTGAGGAAATACCACGTGCAAGGCATTGCCAAGCAGATCGCTTGTTCACCGACACCCATAAATGTCTCTCCTGATTTAAATATTAACTCTCCCACGCAAATTTATTTCTAATCTAGGTCACTTCATATACCAAAGTCATAGATTAATGAAGTAGGAAATCTCTAAAACCGAGTAGAGTGACTAACAGTAGAATCACTCGGTGGAAGTATCACACTATTGGCCTATAATTTACCTCATTCTTTTTGCCAACTATATGACAATCATTTTTTATCCATCCACATGGAAAAATGTCTATTCAAGACCTGTAGAAGAGTTATAACAACTATATGGTCAGTACTGCTGGGTAGTCGTATATACGTTGAGAGAGAGTAACTCAAAGCATCTCCTTAAATAAAAATACCGAGCAGAAAGCAAGCGGCTGAAATTCAGATGATGGGATATGAGATGAACTATCAGAACAGAAAAAAGGACAGCCAACATGAGATTAAGGCAGAGCAGGTTTGCTGGGATTTGTTTGCATTTCACTGCCATGATTTTGAGGCCCCTGGTTTTCTCCGATGGCTGTGTGACCTGCAGGCTCAGGGGGAAGCTGTTTCCCTCAGTCTGATGCCCAGAGAGGCGAGAATGTGAACAGAAAAAAAAAAATCAGAAATGCTGCCTTGATGGGCACTTCTCAGTTTAACAGGGAAAATAGTCGGGTTACAGGCACCGCTAGTCTGGAAGGAGAATGGGAGCATGCAAGAAGAAGAATTGATCACCACCTGCCCACAGAAAGGACCGGTTTGTCAGATTTTTATATCCTCTGGCCTAATACATAAATCACAAGCAGCTGATGTTAGCGAGATGACTTTGAGCCTTCCCTGAGCTGCCAAAGGTTGTCAGATTAGCCTAGACGGTTGTGTGCTGATTGCGCCTACTCGGAGCTTAGCTGCTGCCTCAGCTGCTTTTGCAGCAGGGATTTTGTCTCTGCAAACGAAACTCCTGCTTTCAGTGCGCTTTTTTGGCTGCCGCACTCACTCAGAAAGTCCCAGCCTTTCTGCGGGATGTGCACATGGCTCAGTTTTCACATCTCCAGCAAGATTAATTGCAGGCAGTATTATCACAGGTTGTGCTCACTCCTGGCACACTGTGTTAAAGTATTACCTTGTCCTGGAATAGTGCTACTCTGAATATGTCTCATAATTTTGCAGTTGGCAGCCGGATAACTCAGACAACCAATCTTCTCCCCAGAAGAGAACTAAGATCAGTAAATTAATTACTCAGAAATGGTCGGCTGTGGTTGGAACAAGTAATGTGTCATCAGCATTCATCACTGCTGCCACAGCATGCAGGGGAAAAGAGAAGATACAGAAACAGAAGAAAAGGATTTACAAGCTGAGAATAAGTAAAATTATGCTTTTTGATTGTGCTGTGAAAAGAAATATAGGTAGCACACTACATTGTTCAGTCTGAAAACAGCAGCTGCAGATGTTCCCAGGCAGGCTTAAATATAGATGCGTAGATTTAGTACATAATGTTAGATTTACTGCTCTTCAGCATATACGTAGTGTATACTCACCTTTCTGTCTTTGGGAAAGCATATCTTTGTTGCTTTGCCTGTGATATATATCTATAGTGTTTAGTCTTACAAGTTTATATTTGCGCTTATGTATACATATCTATGATATCTATAATATTTTTGTACCAAAAGGCTGCTCAGTTCATCATCCGTTCTCCTTTTACAGCCCTTAAAATTCCGGGTTGCATACAAGGCCCAGCAAGTGCCCAAGCCCTGAGCCAGCTCTCCACAGGCCGTAGGCACCAAACTTTCACCTTACTGTTGCTGAAATAATATTTGAAGCAGTAGGTGGGGAGACAGGTAACGTGGTCAGAGCATACTGTCAGTGCTGATGTAGGCAGTCATTAGAAAATCTCATTATATTCGTAAGCCGGTACAATGAATCACCTTTCTTCTCCCAGAAAACTGAAAACCTTCACTTTAAATGAAATGTTTTCTCCTCCACCTCTCAGGAACTCACTCAGGCAGGCAGATATCTACTGCCCATGAGAACATAATACCTAGTCTAAAATCTAATCATCTTGTCCCATTGCTTTAATATCATTTTAAAAATATATCTTACAGACTTACTCTATCCAGTCTGGCATCTACTCAGTTTTTTTCTTACCTAATATCCTGTATGGGATTCTGCTTATTGCAGGGACAGGGAACAAAGGAATAATGGCCAGGAGGTTATCAGATACAGCAGCCCTACCCTATCTTGCAGAGGAGTTTAACGCCATCAGTACTTATGGAACCGCGGAATTATTTGTCGTGCTGCAAGAAGAGAATCAAAATCATGGGGGTGAGTAAAAATAGATATAGAAAAGGTAGATAAAGATTCTGCAGAGCCAATAAGCTCAATTTCCCCATAAATCCTTCTTAGCTTGTTTAGATTAGTGGTTCAAGGTAGCAGACCTGCCAGGAATAAATTGTGCCCGCAGGAAAAGGCATACATCTCAATTTGCCTAAAACTCCCTGGCAGTTTAACTTGTGCCTCTGACACACTCTTACACTTAGCAGAACTCATCCAAATGAACCAATACTTTATAATTTTGAGAGATCTTCATCTCTTTTAAAAGATTTGAGCGCTGTGCAGTCGTCTCACCACTGATAATTTCCTACTACGAATTTCATGAAATACAACTCTTATTTACCTGGCACTTTTCAGCACTAGATTTCAGGCTACTATACAAAGAAGCAAATAACAATACACCCATTCTGAAGATGAGTAAACTAAAGTTCAGTGAGTTATAGTTGAATCCCATGGCAATGGATCCTGTTATAGCCTAAAACAGGCTAGACACCTATGTCCTGTGGACACATTTTTTCTGTTCACTTTAGATGGACTTAAAAGGAGAAATATCTTACAGAGAAGCTATAATTTTCTATGAATATGCTACCTTTTTAAAGATACAATGATTAAACCAACTGAGGCAAACAGACAGCATCTATAGCATTCATCATGCAAAGTGAGAAATCCAGAAAGTGGTACTGTGCTAAGCATCAGTTAGTATTTTCAAAAGCAGTGACCAAGTCATCTTTGTTCTTGTTTAAATCAATCAAAACGCTTCCAGCAACCCAAAATTTAGCGCCATGTTTTTTTTTATTTTGACATATCACCACCTATCATGCTGTAGTTATTCCTAGTCATTCTGAACACCCCTGGAGGACTAGGAAACATTTTGCTTTTACTTACCCAGTACCCACTTCATGATCAGCAATTCTGTCCATGAGAACTGAGTTGTTTTTACTCTAAATATTTGTTTAGGATGATCCGTGATGGTCTCATTGGGAAGATTTTTTACTCCTTCAAATCGGTCTGAAGCATTCACTACTAACAGTCCAAGGAAGATTGTAAAAGAAACTGCGTGTGCCACAAATTTCATGAAAGGACTGCGGAGGGTCCGTCCCAACTGAAATGAAACATACACAAGACATAAGCTATTTTTTTCCTCATCCACTTCCTGGAAGATTTTTCCTGTAAAAATTTTAACGATTTGCTCAAGGTAGAAGTTATTTGAATTTTAGTAAGAACTTCAGAAATTAATTATAGATCATGAACTGAATTGGGTTCAGATATGTTCAAGTTGTTTTTTTGCTACTACTAGACATTATACACTGCGTTACAAATTATACCTTTTGGATAATTTTCTGTGCATGTTAGCATCTTGCACAGCTACGCTCACACGTGATAGGTAATTATCCTGTCCATACGATGAGTGCAAAATGAAGAGATAAGACATTTATATACAAGACAAATGTTTATCTTTTCACACACACTTACATGTGCATATGTACATGGTATAAACGTATTTATGTATGTCAATATAAATCCTAGACTAATAATGGTCCTACTTCCCCCCTCCTTACAGCATTATGAACTGTTCTATATCAGAATCTCTTTTTAATGCTGAATTCTTGCTTCATTAGCACTGTGTAGGGCATAGCATTCTGTTTAAAGATTGTTCAGTAATGCTTTTGGTATGCCCTGGTATGATAGTGTTCTAGTATAATTACTACAAAAGTGGGAGATCCACTAATTAGAACACAGGGATTTGTTTCACTACAATAAGCCAAGTGGAGCAACAGTGATCTGAGACAAGATCTCTTCATTATAGTTAATATTTTTCCTTATTGAGAAGTACTGCTTGCAAATTAGTTTAAATAACGTGTCATTTTATATTTTCCATGATCTAAGAAAATATTACTCCAGAAATATGTTAGAGCTAGAAGCTCTTTATAAGTGCAGGGACCAGCATACATGGCATTGGACACAGCATGCAGCAAAGAGAATGTCGTCCCATATGGGCCTTTTCCTCCAAATCTGCCTCAAAGTGCAGGGGATTTTTGCATTTTATCACTCATTGATTAATCTCCCTCAATGATAAGTTATCCTCAAATTTTTCTTGGTATCTACTGAAAGGAAATATGAAAAAGACTGAAAAGCTAAATTCCCTTTTCTCTTGATTGTCTCCAACAGTCCAAAGTTCGTTTCTAAGGAGCCCAGGTCTCTGGTCATTGCAGAGCAGTAAATTTTTTAAAACCAGGGCACTGTTATGCCAGGGCTCTTTAAGTCTAAAAGAAATTTAATGGACGCTTTATGATTCTGCTTCTTATCTCTTTTTCTTCTCTGAATTGTTAAAATATCAAAAAATCTTTTATGAGGTTGACAGAATAGAAAAGCCTACTGGAAAATTTGCGTGTTTCTAAATCCCAGAAAGACATTCCAAAAACGAAAATAGAAAAATCTAATCTATTCCTGAGACCTTAATAACATGTACATGTCTCACTGAAGCCACCGAGGAAATGTTTAAGCAGGCAGATATTGCAGTGAATTGAAGTCTGAGTTTCCTTAGTCTTGTCTAGAAATACCAGGGCAGAGGTAGGGTTTTCTTCTGTTCAAATGGAGCGTGTTAAAAACATTCCCATCATTTGTGACACCGGTTCAGTCTTCTGATGTTGGTGCTGTACACTTTGGTGTAGCGTTAATTCTCAGCCGTTTTTATGGCTGGTATTGGCTAGATTTACATTTTTCAGCAGAACTCCTTGTATTTCCAGTGCAGGGTTGATAGAGTGATGGGATATTTGAACAGTGTTATGATAGAAGGGAAGTTCCATAGGATTAATGACCTCAGATATTTCCCTCATACGACCTGGCCAAGAGAGCTCAAAGAGAATGAGTAAAACTACAATACGGGAGTGTGGGTCATTACCACGAAGGCTTTAGGAAGACACAATTGCAGTCTACCTAAGACTCATTTCTACTCTGAATCCACTCAAAGGGGAAAAGCGCTCTCCTGTGAGCCATGAATTCACTCCAAATAATTAGACATTTTCTCCTTTTTATAGAAACTTAAAAAATAGAGACCTGAGATTCAAGTTGTACAGCCTTGGTTACCAGAGAAGTAATCCTGAGTGTTACAGAACCAAGTGAATTGTATGGATAATTTCACTTAGTTCTTTACTAATTTAACAAAAATCTTCATTTATTCAGGGTTACATCAACATTTCATCCTCTTTATTATTGAGGAAAGCCTATAATTTTTTTCTTGAGCTGATGTTTTTCATATCTTCTCAGAAATCTGATTTTTAGCCAAGTGCTACAGGAGCTGAAAGTGTTGACTAGAATATTCTGTGAAAAATTAATGAAGCTTGAATTCCTTCAGTCAGCTTAATGCCTTATGACAATAACGTATTTTTAAAGCAACATGATATGGTTAAATTCAAGGTGTGTAACTACTTGGATGTATCAATCTTTCAATTACTTTATTAAATCAAAATATCATGCTTCATCAAGCCAGGTTTGCAAGGAAGTGCCTGGCTGTCACTATTAAGATAATAGAAATGCTGACAGAATGTGAATACAAAGGTTCAGTCTTAAAAGAATAGTTCATCTCATGACTTAATATTCAGGAAACAATAAATCACACAGACTTGTCAAAAAGAAAAATAAATAGATAAAGGAAAAAATATATTAAAAATATATATATATTATATATATATATATATAATATAGATATAGTTTTTATATATATATGTGTGTGTGTGTGTGTGGATTGTCCAAATGCAAATTAATCTCAACTCCAAGAGATAGGAACAAATAATGATAGAAATATCTTGAAGAAAAACTATTACTATTTTCATTATTATACTCATAGCATGAAGAAAACTGTGTTAGAAATCATATACAGATTTACTGTAGAGTCAAACATCTAGAGTAAGAAGGCAGAGGTACATCTTTAGGTGGAGTGAACAAAGGAAGTTCCAGTGCTTAATCGATGCGAGGTCTGTGCCAGCTGGAGCTGTGGTCCGTAAATCCCCAGCACGGCTAAATGAAAAAGGGCAAGGGCAGAGTGCAGGCAATGTGACCTGTTCACAAATGATCTCTGTAGACATTATAATATTTGACTGCGTACTTCAACAGATCAGAGAAGAAAGAAAATACTTCTTCAGTTCTGCAAACAGTCCAAACCCTCCTTGCTCTTGACAATAGGAAATTGGGCAGCAGACTGTGCAGTTTTTCCATCCTGTCTTTTATCTTCTCTTGTGATCACTGATGAAACAAGTTTTGGACATCAACATATAAACCACCAGTTATTTTCAGAGTCATGACTTTCACGAGGTGGATGAGTTGACCTGGCTATTTCAGCACAGGCTTACACTCAGGGAGTTTTGCCAACAGTCTGTGTATCCAGATGTGAATGAACAAAATTACTCAAAAATTGTTTTAATAAGACAGCTCTGTGCAACTGCATGTAAAAGAAGACTTAAGAGTTCAGTTGCAAAATCAGCTGACTACTGTATACTAAACTTTCAAGGATGCTGGCTGTATGGCATCTTCAAGCACTGCAGAGTCTTTATTAAAGAAAACTTTCCATTAGGGAGTAAGGGCTTGAAAACATATGCTTTGCTGAGATATACTAGTAGAGGAATTATTCTGAGATATGAATTACTCTACTACTCTGTATGAAGCTGCTACCTTTGATCAAAATTTCTTAAGACTGTGATGCATCCCAGTATTGATCAGGAGAGCTACTATAAGCTGTGTTCCACATCACCGAGGTTTCCCTGGTTTTTCTCACTGTCTTAGCTCTGAAATAGATCCCTAATAGGCCTGTATTCCCTAACATAGTCACCTTTTACAAGAGCCACATTAATACTTGGGTCAGTAAACAGGAGGAGATGGCCCAGATTTTCTTTCTTTAGAGCATAAGCAGAGGAGCTGGCTAAATCCACCTAAGCTAACTCCCTCCTTTCTGCCTGGCTCATAAAGCAGACTCTTCCTCATTTCCTTCAGCAAAGACGGAACACAACGCCAGCCTCAGGCAACGACCCGTCAAGACACAGAGCCCTGTACAAAGGAGCCCTAAGCTACGTTCGCCGTGTCTATGGACTATGGGACTGATTCAAAACAGTAACTGTCTGGAGGTTTTGACTCTGCAGTTATCACGAAATACAGCATCTGCTGAAGCCAGCAGAAGAGGACCAGGAAAGCGACTTTATTCTCTGGAGCCAGTGAATGGGTCACACGTTCTGCTGGTTCCTACGAGCTGAGGAGCTGTCCTGGCACCAGCAGGCAGCACCTTCGCCTGGGCACTCATGTGGCTTTTAGGCCAGGCCTGACCTGATTTTAATCTGAGCATCTAAGTTGATTGTGGCTGTGGAAAAATTATTTCATTCTTACGTAGTTGTACAACATTAAAATTGTTTCCATGACTTACAAACAAACAAACAAAATCCTTGCAAAAAATGGCAAGGACAAAATCAGGCTGCTCAGAGCAGCCAGTATCACACGTAAATCCTTTCTTAATATCACCATCCTCTTAGAGAATATATTGCATATATAACTGGGTACAATAACACTGTGAGGAGATACAAGGTTCATGTATCAGTCCTCAGCCCTTGCATCTAATAGCTTCAATTTTGGGTGGAGTGCCAATACATTGGGGGAAGCTGTGTTCATCATGCCATTTTTCAGTTATTTTTATCATAGGCCCCAGTCAAAAATCAAAACTACATTGTTCTGACTGATGCAAAACCATGCATTGAAAGGCACTTCCTGCTGGAAAGAATTTACAATTTAAATTTATGATAGAGGGCTACATACATTTTCACAGTCTAAAACAGGGAGAAGGAGTGAAATGAGGTTCCATGAAAGGCTTAGTGCAATGCTATCAGAATCACTGAAAAGTTGAGAGGGGTTGTGTTGTCCCCCTTCCACCATTTTTTCAATTCTAGTACATCTACCTCAAGAAGCTTTTTAAAAATGATCATTTCTCAGTCATTTCTTATTTCTGCTGTAAAACTAATGGGTTTGGTTTAAAATGCTGCCTTGGTTTAGTTCCTTTTTTATATTTTTTGTTTAAAGTCTACATTTTTTCCAGTCTAGCTATGTTCCTCAGCTATCGCTATATTCAAATGCAACCCCTTTAATTCTGACAATACACCGCAAACGTTGCAGTTAATGTGAAGCAAATGTGAAAGCAGTTAAACAGCTTCCTAAATCCCTCCTGGACTGAGTTCTAATATACAGGAATCAACATGGTAATTCCACACACAAATTCCTGCTAAGTCCTAGCCAAAACCTCCCACAAAACATCTCTGATTTCATAGGCACTTCTCTGTGCTGTGTGATATTTTAGAACTCTGTTCAGTATTCGTAAAAGCTGTTGACTTTTGTGTTGACATAAATGTTGAGAAAAAAAAAGTTACATTCTCAAGTACTCTAAGAGAAAGTACCTGGAGATGCTTTGGAGGACATCAGGCTTTAAACGTGTTTTATTACACAACATATTCTGGAAGGCTATCTGTTTCCACAGGTTTGTCTGGAACAGATAACTCTTTCGAAATTATAGTCTTTCCTTAATACTCATCAGTGAATCTACAGTTCCCTGAACCTGACAAATTTAGAAAGGATTCCTTACCAACCTTTAAAGGAAATGGGAGAAAATGCTTTTAACACTAAATAAACTATCCATGCCAAGGGCTGTTTCTATCAGATTTCAGCAGCTGTGATAAGCCTCTGCTGAAGACATTCTAACTTGTAAGGGAGGATGGGGCCAGTATTGTTCCATATGAAATGATTCCTCCCCTTTTCTTTTAAGGGATAAGAGTAGAAAAAAAGCTGTTCATCACTCAGCCATGCACCTATTTATCTCCACTTGTTTGAGCAGTCTCAGGATAGAAATCTCACTACAAAATTCATACCACAGACACCTTGAGCTTACATACAAGCTAATGGTTGGCCCTGGTCTTTTGACCTCTAGGTCTCAGCAAAACTTTCCTGCTCCATCTGATGCTGTGAGATACAGCACAATCATAATTAGATACATAGCGACTTTTCAAGTTTCTTCATCTTTTCCCTCAGCGCTGCAGAAGTTGCATGAGTAAGCCTAGTCTTCTCTGTGGCACTCAGCAGTCCCCCGTGGCTTTGCAGAGTTTCAGATGCATGTGCCATAATAACGCTCCACTAACTAAAAATGCAAGATCAGAAAGAACTGGAAGGAAAAGGAAATAGGAAGCCCTGAAGAAGAGAGGAACCTGCAACACAGAGTGCAGAAAAGGGAATGACATCAGGGTGAACTAAAAGGACAGCAAAGGTCTTTTTCCTTTGCTATTCCCCATTTTTGTTCTTCTTCATACTTGCTGTCTCAAAGTTCCCTTCCTCCATCCTTTCTTATTTTAAAAGGTGAACTTTAGAACAAGCCTAATGGCTCCATTTGTGCATATCAAGAAACACCTGAAGTATGCCCTCCTTTGAGGCAATCTTAGAGGATAGAACCAATCATTTTGCAGCAGCGTTACAGAAACATTTGTGACTTCCTTTGCAGGCCTTGGATAGAAATGACCGTAAAGAAGATGCGCCTAAAGCAGTTTGTACCTTACTGCAGGGAGCGATCCAGTATGCTATGGCAAGGAACGGCAGGCCGATGGAGACCCCAAAGACAGCCAAGAATTTCACAGCTATAGATTGCTGCCGTAAGCCTGAGAGGTTTTCATACCACATGGTGAGCAGCTGCTGCTGGCAGTTGGGATGAGCAACAAACTGAAAGAGAGATAAAAACAAAAGTATCAGTAACATTGTCTGAAAGGATGCGATTTCAGCGTATAACATGCAGAACGTACTAGCAGAGCGAGACAGGGACTTTGTAGTCCAACGACGCTTATGGTGCTGCAAATAGAAAACTGCAAACTAGGCCCTTAAGATTCCCACTTACTGGCGGAGCGTATTTCACTTCTGTTTCATGTCATTTCTAGACACAAGCTTTGCTAGAGGGCAGCCCATCTAGCTAAAATCTAGTGTCTGCCAGTGGCCAATACTGACAAAGCACATCTGTGGGTTTGGGCTTTGCAACTCCACTCTGCTGACCATGATTTGAGTGTGTGGCCAGCACTATCGTTGTCACTGAAATGAGACAAGTCTACAAGACTTTGCACCGTTTTAAAACTTCTGGGCTGCTGCGCACCACAGACTGGATTCAGTAACACTTGCATTGGTCTATTTGATTGGTTGTACAGAAAGCCCATAATTTCACACACAAACGTGTCTTGGGAGGGTTGTCTGTTGGCAAATACGTAATTGTTTTGCTAAATTGGGACAAAAATGGATAGTTTTGTTAGTCACAGTTCAGCTAATGACTTTACAAATCAAGAGCTTTCTGCTGCAGTGAGGCAACAGAAAGGCAAATCCGCTTTTCCATGGTCTTTCTACATGAACCATACGCAAAAGCAAATAAGTCTTTGGTTTATGAAAATGACACTATCAGAAAGTCCATAGACCAAAGATTATTTACAACGCAATATCACATTCATTCTTTTCAATAGTTAACTACTAGCAACACTGGCAGGAGGAGGGAAAGGAATCACACCTGTGGAAACTCCTAAGATGGTCTACACTGAGATCGAGAAAAGAAATGGAGAGGCGCTTTGATGTTAAGCTGAGAAAAATTTCTGATAATTTGCTACAGACAGACAACTGAAGTAGTAGGGCACCTCAAAACAACGGTTATTCAGCATTAACCTTACACTGTTTTTCTTCACTGCAAGTAGACCAGAATGAACCACTTTGCATGGTTCTCCCCCTCCTGTAAGCTATAAAATGTCTATCTGGTATTTTGCAGGGAGCAGCTTTAAATGCTGTATCTCAGATTATCTTTAAAAAAAAAATGACAGCTCATTCTTCACTGATGGGACAAATAATAGAGAAATTTAAAAGCAGAAGGAAGAGCTGCGGTGCTCTGACACAGAAAGTACGTGTTTTGTATCCTGCAGCTGAGACTCTTCTTCAGTTTATTGTTCAGAGGGAAAAAAGGGGGTAGCAGCAGACAATTGAAAAGGGCAATTTCTTAATAGCAAAATTACAGCACCACCGGATGCCACATACGAGTTTTATAATAAAGATTAAGCTTCTTTGTGTCATATTGTTTTTCAGAGTGATAGAAATTAGAATGTGACTATCTTTAATCACAAAGAAAGACAATTAAAAAGCAAAATAACTAAGGGAAAAGATGAAAAATAAATATGTTGTTGATGTGGTTGATTGCATTAGCAGAGCTGAGTGTTTCATTTATGAGTTTTGAGGGTGAATAAATGTTCTTAGAAGGGAAATGTAAAAACTTCACTTATTTCAAAAAGCAGAACTTTCTGGACGCGAGGGGTAGGATAAAGGAGTAGAGAGAGAAAGAGAGGAGGAAAGGGGAGGTTATTAGGGGTCTGCAGCTGCTGTTACCCCTGCCTGGCGTGGTGAACATGGCCCAGGTCTGGCAACTGCCCCATTGCCCCGCTGCTGCCCTTTTTGGCTGCAACCGGCTGCGATTTCAACAGTCTCGGTAAAAGTGGGACTCCAGTGTCCATCAGATGGGGTATTAGAAAAGCAACACACGAAGCTGAAGAGCAGAGAAAACTCCGGTCATGCTTGCATCTTCGCTATCTTTGTGACAAGGATCGCATGGGAAGTTTAATGGACTCTTTTCTAGATGTTTGCATAACAACAAACCAGTTATTGTGAGTTTTAATGATCAGCCCATCGCTAGTGCAGATTGAAATACAGTTACACAGTAATTAGGATTGCTATGGAATAGCGCGTTTTGTTCTTTAACAGCACATTAGTGGCCATTTAAAATGCGTTTCTTCAGATAAATTAGGCTCTGGAGTCTGCATTTTTCCAAAAAAAGAAAAAAAAGAAGAATTTACCACTCCCACTGCAGAGTGAAGGAAATTGTTTGACCTTCTTTTTTCTTGAGAAATTCTCCCTGGAAATATTACCATATTATTATGCTTTCTTTTAAGTTATTTGAGGGAAAGGAGAAAGTTTATCAAAAGGAGGTCTATAAATCATCGGTCCTAATCATTCTGAGCATTTAAAGCTTAAACTTAAAGCGACGGCAGCACCATTACAATTAGGAATTTCCAAATGTTCAGTGTTTATGTTTGCGCTAACGCTGCTAGGGGCTATTACTTTTTTGGCAAATGGGGGAAAAAAAAGATTAACTGGAAGGAAAATAGACAGAGAACTGATTCCCTTTGTAAATTTTATTTTCAGATTTGATGAAAATCAGCGATTGCAGCAGCCAGCGGCACGGCAGGTCACACTGGTAGGTGTGCCCCCTCCTGAAGTGCAGGACCAAAGCCACAGCCGGGCTTTCCTCGGCTCTCACAATTGCTCACCACATTGTGTGAATTGATTCAGACAAAGAAATTCAGTTGTCCTTGGCAATGAGACAGTCGAAGTCTTATGCTGGTTGGCACTTCAGAGAATTCATCAGACATTTTCATCTGCTCACTGATTCCCTCTGTCTGGGAACAGCTACGATGAAAATACAAATCCGAGAAAATTGAGGAGGAATTGCCATAAAACTGAATTTATTGGAACAATTTATTTTGTACGAGACAATAAGGATTGGCAACATGCCATAGAGCCTCGATGGTGTTCCTCTTTGATTGTTAACAAAAACGAGGGGAAAATAAGATCAGGATAAGGAAGATAACAGTTCAAAATTCATTCTTGCTCTTATTTGCTTACAGCAAACAGCACAATTTTTCGTTGCAGGTGCTCCATCAGATACTAACGACATACCCCGTGACCTTGGACAACGCTAACTTTCTCTCTATCAACATTTCAGAAATTAATCTTAGATTCTCAGAGATAATACAGAGCTGTTTAACTTTCTCTCTTCCCTGGGAATGGGCACTGGCATCAAGTTAAAGATTAAACTAACATGTTGCTTAGTGTCATAGGCACAGAAAAGAACAGAGCTTGAGACAAAAGCTTCAAGACAGAGTGCTTTAAAACGCAGTGAAAAATGGTGATATAATTACAGATGCCTAAATACTACAATGCTTTTTCAAACAAACTTCCTATTAAATGCTATTTCCTTTTATTCAGTACCGAAAAAGGGGGCCAGGAGACTTTTAGGGACAAGCTGCAGCCGCTCCCGCGCTGTACCCTGGAAGGAGAGAAAGGCAGAAAGTGTCGCAACAAGTCCGCTGTGGCTGGGGCGTTGCAGAAGGGCAAGATACCCCTGACGGAAAGGGAAGCGCTGGCTGTGGAGGGGATCGCGGGGGTCCAAAAAGACCTATTGAAAAGCATTAAGTGCTTATTTTCATAGGCAGATCGAGCCCCCTCCAAGCTGACAGAGCTAATGCAGCAGGACCCGTGAGCTCCAGCAAACCGTTTTCCACCGTGTCCCTTCTCAGAAGCGGCTGCGGTGGCCCCACGGCCCCCGCCGCGGGGTCCCTGCTTGGTGGTGGCAGTTTCCCTTACATCATGCACACCCATGTGGTTTGTAAGGAAAACTGTGCTTCCCTCCAACCTATCAGTTACACATATTTTCTAAGTTACTGAGGTTAAAAAAAATCAATATATCGGTCTAAAGAGCCAGTCTAAATAGCAAAACTGTCAAAGTGATGTTTTTGAGAGTCACCAAAAGACTCAGCGGTGCTGACAGCTCCAAAAGCTGTTGTTACTCGCTGGAGGTGATTAAACCAAGGGCTAGGTGTAGCTTTAACTAGAATAGGGAGGAAAAAAGCCTCCCAAACCCTTCAGTGGGGATTGTAAGGGCCTAAAGGAACTGCTTTCCACCGAGAAATTAAGAGAAAGTTCTTAAAGACTGCTGTAGATGCCACATTAAACACCAGCTTTTCCATGCTGCTATCTAATTTGATGTATGACAGCTCTTTCTCCTAGCTTAGCACGTACATGCATTGTGGGAAAGTACTTTACAGCTCTCATGACAGAAAGTGAATTTTTTCCTCAGAACTCTTGTTCAAAAAATGCATGAGTTTCTCTGCGCAGACAATAAAATACCTTTATATCTCTATAACTGTATAGGAAGTTTCTTCAGATCCATGAAACTGTAATATAGACACTGTTACTTCTTATTTACTGTCCATTATATCGAAGAGAGAAGGGATCTGTCATGAAGAACCCACTTACTGGTGCTGTTTGATATCAGCGCTGCAGGTGCCTGCAGCATCACTGGTTTAGGTACCACAAAAAGACCCTGTCTGAAACACCCCGTGGACCCTACCTGAACAGCATCTCTCTTGTCCTGCAGCACATACTGGGTGAGTTATACCCACGTGACAGAAATCCAGGAAACTAAGAGTATAAGTCAATACTGAGATATTAAGCATAAAACAAATAGATACGTATTTTAGATAAATAAATGCTGTAAATCCATCAGCAGAAACAGGAAAACTTATGACAAGTGAAAGCCAGAGATCAGTCTCAGATGACTGGAGCCAATCACTCAGAAACAACAGTATCTATTACTGAAATAAATTCTAATTCTTTTGAGTGTAGAAATCCACCATTAATGCAAAAGAATTAACCACTCAGACAGGATTATCCTGCTTTACTAATGCATCTTTGTGCTAAACAGCCAGGGGCTGAAGCAGGAAGGAAAAACTCATCAGTGAACCAGCGAAAACACTAAAATACTCCACATCAGAACTAACAGCACAAACTTCTGACTTTAATGTTCGGTTTCCACCCAGGGATTCCCGTCACGTTCCCTCCAACTCATCCCTTCACCGTAAGCCTTA